AGAATGTTAAAAACCAATAGACATCAATTATCAAATCAAATACATTTAAAGAAATAACACTACAATAATCAAAATGGTGGGAACTTGCGGTATAAAAGTAGCTGAAATAACTTCTGACATTGCAAGTTATTTCACCTACTTTTTATGGTATTAAATTTATCTTTTTACACAAGTGCAGTTAATAGTTATTTTTCTTCCTTCTTTCATAGATGCACAATGGGAAGAACCTCCTGGCCATTAAATCAGTTGGGGACATTAGGAAATACTCCTTTAAGGTATATTGCAAAGTCCCTAAACAATGGGAAAAGGACATTGGATTCAACAAGGGTTGATATTCTTAAAAGTAAGTAGTAGTTTTAGCCTCAAAGAGTTAAATTACTAGCCTCATTCTAGCTCCATAGATGTATGTTAATGGGTTGAAGAGCAGTCAGGGTTCAACAGTAAAGTTATTAACACCCAGTATTCCATACTTCCTTTGAATATAATTAATGCTTGTTTCATTTTGTTTTCAGGTGCAATTTCAAAAGAAATTGGGGTAAGATAAACTAAATAAGCTTTGCCTAAAAAACCTGCAATTGATAAACTAAGATAAACTAAATAAGCTTTGGCTAAAAATAAAGCAGTTATGTAATAAAAAATGCCTTGACACAAAATAAAAAAAAAATAGTAGTTAATTTGTAGGTTATTTCTAGATTCAGTGTAGTAAGGATACTTAAACCTTTATGATTTTGTTTGTAGACTATTTTGTTTTAATTGTAACTTTTTTCAGTCTTTTTTCAGTATCTACATGTAACTTTTAAGTTAAAACATTATCAAACAATCTTTAGAATTATAACAAAGGCAACAACACTTGATATTCTATTAATTAACACTAATAAACCATGATATCCTATACGATTGATTATTTGTGGATTTTAGATTGAAAATAGTATTTTTAAAATATTTTACAAGATTCAATCTTAACAATACATTTTAAGATTTATATAAGATCTTACTAATATCTTAATAATTATCATATTAAGATTGAATAAGATCTTATAAGAATCATACTTATAAGATCTTACTCATATAATATCTTACTAAGATCAAAAATGATCAATTTGTGCATTCTCGGATTAGGGTTAACATAATTACGCTGATGAAAAATAGAAATATATCTATTACACGAATAATAAAGAAATGAAAATGACATATGACATTTCATCTTTTCATGTATCATATATTTTTTTAGAGTTTTCTTTGCCTTCTTTCTTTATTGTGGTAAGTAACACCATCTTTATTCTAGTTTTAATTCATTGTATCTCGTTGGATATTTATTATCAACAGGGATCTCAACAGGGATCTCCTTAAATCCCTGGGGGTGGATGTCAAGCCGATATCCAACCCCCTTCAGATTCCTCTCATAGAGGGAAGGGGTAAGTGTCTTGAATGAACATCGAAGTCAGTCAATTTCTTACGATGATTAAGTGTACTTTTTTATTTTAGCTGCGGCGGACCTGTCATTGTTGTACACAACTGCAGGTTGATGATGACTCCAGTGAGGATGACATTCCCCTCTCGTCTCTGTCCCGAAAGAAGGCCAGGAAGGTAGGAATATCCATTGCTTTTCTTGTATACCACCTATCAATACATTGATCATTGTTGTACACAACTGCAGGTTATCGACGAGTCCGACTCGGAATCACTCTACAGCCACGTCTCAAACAGTGCAGACGAAGATGAGCTGCCATTGTCCGAACTAACAGGTGTTAAGACCAGAAAGAGGGTGCTGTTGCTAGCCCCCACATTCAGAAGTGCCTCCAAACCCATACCATCGAACCTAACGGTGTACGGGCCGAGACCATCCTATGGCCCTTGGAGGCAAGAATGTGGGGTGCAGGCAACGGCACCCACGGCCTTGGTGTCCACCCAGATCTTCCAGGCCAACCCATTGGAGGGAACAAATCTGAGGAAGCCGCCAGGGCTGACGTAGCCAAGGTCCACCTGATGGGGAGCCACGCCGTGCCTGTCCACTTGGTGCGTTACTGGAGGTCTGGGGAAATGAGATGCTCATATGGACGCAGTTCTTCGACCACAGCTTACAGACCAATAGTCGAAAGGGGACGACTCTCAAGACCTACTCCGTCGCGCTTCAAGAGTACCTCGAGTTTCTGGTCGGGAGGCGTGTCACAGATCCTCGGTACGCCCTCGATGCAGATACGAGAGAGTGTCTCAAGAGGCTGGCGGGGTACCAGGTCAAGTGGAGGAGTTCCCTTAAAGGGGACTGCGTCCGTCAGCGATTCCATCGGCTGAAGCAGGACCGTGACAATCTCCTGTTGCTCTCGGACATGCGATCCATCGTCTACTCGGCGGTCTGGCGGGAGGCTAGCTTCTTGGTTGCTACCCGCCACGACTCGCAGAGATGACGAGGATCCTCTACCGCAACTTCCTGATATTCAACTTGACACTGTGTCATTCCGCAAGAGCTTGAGCTCTTGCCAACCTTACGGTCATGGAGTTCGACGGTAGAAAATTCAACACCGACACCAACTTGTACGAGATCAGCGTCTCCAAACACAAAACGGACGAGAGTTACGGTCCTGCATCTCTTTTCCTGACTCCAGAGGACTTCAAAATGATGATGGCTTATAAGAACACTTGCCGCGTGGCCCAACCAGATACCACCGCGTTCTTCACCGCCACCAACGGAAACTCCATGCCTTCGTCTAACATCAGCGACTCACTGAAGTCATTCGTGAAGAGGTGTGGCGTCAACATCGACAAGGTCATCAACGCAACGCAGATCAGGAAGATGTGGGTCAGCCACTTCGAGATGGTCGGCAAGGGTGAGGCTGACATGACAAACATCGCCATCCTCATGAAGCACTCGAGGGAGACGGCAAAGAGCTGGTACGACATGACCTGGAAAGTGGGGCAGGCAGAGAGCGCGCACAGCATGATTCGAGGTGAACTCTCATCCCTAGTTGCTGCTGCTCCTCCTGCGCCTGCTTTTCCTCGGTCGAGTACCAGTGTTCAGCCCGAAACCTCGGGTGTGGATCGAGTACACCCTTACGACTACAGCAGCGTCCGATACGAATGGACCGCCGACCAGATTGAGGTGCTGAGGAAGGCCTTCAAGAAGATCCTGGCCTTGGATACTAACTTCCGCGTTGGTGACGTCAGACACGTGTTCCTGAACAACGCTGACGCCAACGCCATATGGACCATGGGTCGCACGGAGGTGTGGAGGGACCGTTGTGTGGAGAAGGTCAAAAATATGTGGAAAGCTGACAAGGCGGCGAGGAACAACAAGTCCACATCGTTCTGAGTGGCATCATGTTTTGTTTGTTTTGTGTGACAAGGATTGTCGTCTTGCCTTTGTCTTTCGTAAACGTATTTTATGTTCTTACAACAGGTGCTACATACACACTGAAGGCGCTCTGCGATAGTGGGCACCGAGGCACCCGGATTTAAGCATACAAGTCAATGCACCCACCACATGTTTCAGTAGTGTCTTACAACAGGTTCTATGCATACACGGAGAAGGCGCTCTGCGATAGTGGGCACCGAGGCACCCGGATTAAAGCATACAAGTCAATGCACACACCACAATACGTCTGAGTATTTCTGAGATCAATGCACAGGCGTCTTCATACAACAGCCAATATTCACTCAGCTGGCAAAACCTTTGACCACACACGCACTCACACATGATCTCAAGCATACAACAGTGCCAGCACTACACGATACGTTACGGGCCGGGCACACCCACTTTAACGCCTACATCTTGAATATTTATGCACACACCACAAAGGCCTGCAGGAATTGCGGGCCAAACAATCCTTGTTGGTCGCCTCTTAATGGGGTTCTGGTTAGAATCCAGAAATGGATTGGCCTTTTTGCGTTCCCATGACAACCAAGAGTCACGTGACAAAAATAACGCCCAAACGGATAGAAGTGTTATGACCCATTACAATTCAAATTTTCTCAAAGGCTTTGGCAGCTTTTGTGTAAAGTTGTCAATTTTCAATGACTTGGTTGCCATGGTAACACCAATTCATACGTCAATACTTTTCAAGAAACGAGGTCTTCAACGTGTCTACTACAATTTTGCTTACTAAACCAAGAGATTAAAATGACATCCTGGCATAGTAAATTTCGATTCTTTCCCTATTGGTACTTTTTTTTCATGCAAAACCAAGGCCATGTTTCTAATAGAGATAAATAGATATCCGTTATTTATTTGCATTATCGCATTGCCCAACGTATGGACTTTGATTCATGCAATAATTGTTTTTTGAAAATGTTTATACTTTCTTACTTAGAGCACGCCAAAAATCAAAAACTTTCGTGAACTCTTGACAATGTTGTTGTTTACTGCATGTTTATAGTTCAAGGATTGTTCAAGTGATTATTTGAAAATATTTTGATTCAAAGCGTTTTTTGATGTTGGGGTTAGTTTTTTGGTCAGACGTTAAAGAGGCCGTGTACAGATTTTTTCATATTAATAGGGATTAATAGTTATCCCCCAAATTGTGCATGAATACAAAGATGTGCACTCTGTTGATATTTCTGAGGCACATTTGCTTCAAACAATTGTCACTGAAACGAGAAAATATTAGAGAAAGTTTTCTTACTATTGCCATAGCAACGTTTGTTTATTTCACAATATTATTTCAACAGTTGTGATTGTCATTTCAATGTCTATCAACTGTCCAAATTTCATGCGTTTTGGTTGATATTTAGGTGTTTTATAGCGGAGCTCCCGCGCGGGCCGAAGCGAGCGGAGCACCATAAGTAAGGAAAAATGGTAAACCGATGGAGATGATTCTTGATCAACCGACACAGGAATCCCAGTTGTCCTTCCGTACATACATACATACATACGTACGTACGTCCGTCCGTGTACATTCTGATTGGCTAGCTTTTGACAAGGCGGGAAAAGGAAGCGCGCTCGCGTCAATTTTTGAAACAACTTTTTTCACCACAACAACATTTGTTTCTTTACTTCTGTGCCAAAAATGTCGGAAAAACAACGCTTTTTATCGGAACAAGAAAAGACAAGAAGAAGAGAAAGRGAAAGAGAACGTCGAAGAGGTCTTACTGAAGAACAACGCAGGCTTGAAAGGGAGAGAAAACGCGAGTATAGACGAAACATGCCTGAAGAAAATCGAGAAAATGAACTCCAAAGACAACGGTTATTGAGGGAGAATTTCACTGAAGAAAACCGAGAGAGTGAACGCCAAAGACAACGGTTATTGAGGGAGAGTTACACAGAGGAGAACCGAGAAAACGAGAGGCAAAGACAACAGTTATTGAGGGATAATTTTACTGAAGAAAATCGAGAGAGTGAACGTCAAAGACAACGGTTATTGAGGGAGAATTTTACTGAAGAAAATCGAGAGAGTGAACGTCAAAGACAACGGTTATTGAGGGAGAATTTTACTGAAGAAAATCGAGAGAGTGAACGTCAAAGACAACGGTTATTGAGGGAGAATTTTACTGAAGAAAATCGAGAGAGTGAACGTCAAAGACAACGGTTATTGAGGGAGAATTTTACTGAAGAAAATCGAGAGAGTGAACGTCAAAGACAACGGTTATTGAGGGAGAATTTTACTGAAGAAAATCGAGAGAGTGAACGTCAAAGACAACGGTTATTGAGGGAGAATTTTACTGAAGAAAATCGAGAGAGTGAACGTCAAAGACAACGGTTATTGAGGGAGAATTTTACTGAAGAAAATCGAGAGAGTGAACGTCAAAGACAACGGTTATTGAGGGAGAATTTTACTGAAGAAAATCGAGAGAGTGAACGTCAAAGACAACGGTTATTGAGGGAGAATTTTACTGAAGAAAATCGAGAGAGTGAACGTCAAAGACAACGGTTATTGAGGGAGAATTTTACTGAAGAAAATCGAGAGAGTGAACGTCAAAGACAACGGTTATTGAGGGAGAATTTTACTGAAGAAAATCGAGAGAGTGAACGTCAAAGACAACGGTTATTGAGGGAGAATTTTACTGAAGAAAATCGAGAGAGTGAACGTCAAAGACAACGGTTATTGAGGGAGAATTTTACTGAAGAAAATCGAGAGAGTGAACGTCAAAGACAACGGTTATTGAGGGAGAATTTTACTGAAGAAAATCGAGAGAGTGAACGTCAAAGACAACGGTTATTGAGGGAGAATTTTACTGAAGAAAATCGAGAGAGTGAACGTCAAAGACAACGGTTATTGAGGGAGAATTTTACTGAAGAAAATCGAGAGAGTGAACGTCAAAGACAACGGTTATTGAGGGAGAATTTTACTGAAGAAAATCGAGAGAGTGAACGTCAAAGACAACGGTTATTGAGGGAGAATTTTACTGAAGAAAATCGAGAGAGTGAACGTCAAAGACAACGGTTATTGAGGGAGAATTTTACTGAAGAAAATCGAGAGAGTGAACGTCAAAGACAACGGTTATTGAGGGAGAATTTTACTGAAGAAAATCGAGAGAGTGAACGTCAAAGACAACGGTTATTGAGGGAGAATTTTACTGAAGAAAAT